CTAACACTGGTTTATTAATATGATTGGTTCCTTTGTGGCTACTTGAATATTTTAAGTAAGCATCACTCAAAGCAGTAAGTTAATTGTTTTATTTGCCTTGAAATTAGCTGTAACTTAATAAAACCTGGTAAGTATAACAACTAAGTAAAGATAACTAATTATATCTAAGTAAGGTAAACTATTGGATTTTACAGTGTAATGGCTTTAAGTAAAGTGTTACAAAATAATTAATAACTTACAGGGGTTTTCAAACTGTTGCTAAACACTGTGCAGAAGGCTGGGAAGGCTTCAGTGCTGGGAAGACTTCTGGAATGGTTTGAAAACTCCTGCTCTAAGAAAGCAATCTCATCTGTCTTGCCTTGTGTCAGCAAACAGAAATTCTGTCATTCCTAACATGTTTGACTGCATGTTTCTCCCCATGGCTGCCCAGAAGGACACCTGAAGGACATTACTGGACCCTTGCTGGATCCTCTTCAGTTTTGCCTACAGAGCAAACAGGTCAACATATAACACACCAGCCCAGGACCTCCACATCCAGCATCTTCACCTCCAAGATCGTCTGAGACCAGCCACCCGGACAGCTGCTGCAACAATCTGTTTGCATAACCAAAGAATTTCTGCACAAACTGTCAGAAACCGTCTCAGGGAAGCTCATCTGCATGCTCGTCGTGGTATGGGCAGGCGTATGTTATGGACAACGAATGCACAGCTCTGTTTTCATTTTTTTGATGGCATTTTGAATGCACAAAGATACTGTGACGAGATCCTGAGGCCCATTGTTGTGCCATTCATCCACGACCATCACCTCATGTTGCAGCATGATAATGCACGGCCCCATGTTGCAAGGATCTGTACACAATTCCTGGAAGCTGAAAACATCCCAGTTCTTGCATGGCCAGCATACTCACCGGACATGTCACCCATTGAGCATGTTTGGAATGCTCTGGATCGGCGTATACAACAGCGTGTTCCAGTTCCTGCCAATATCCAGCAACTTCGCACAGCCATTGAAGAGGAGTGGACCAACATTTCACAGGCCACAATCAACAACCTGATCAACTCTATGCGAAGGAGATGTGTTGCACTGCGTGAGGCAAATGGTGGTCACACCAGATACTGACTGGTTTTCGGACCCCCCAATACAGTAAAACTGCACATTTTAGAGTGGCCTTTTATTGTGGCCAGCCTAAGGCACACCTGTGCAATAATCATGCTGTCTAATCAGCATCTTGATATGCCACACCTGTGAGGTGGATGGATTATCTCGGCAAAGGAGAAGTGCTCACTAACACAGATTTAGACATATTTGTGAACAATATTTGAGAGAAATAGGCCTTTTGTGTACATAGAAAAAGACTTAGATCTTTGAGTTCAGCTCATGAAAAATGGGGGCAAAAACAAAAGTGTTGCGTTTATAATTTTGTTCAGTGTATATTGCTGATATTTAAAATGCTGGGCCAAAAACAGACCCCATAGCGCATTTTTATCTTTTACCTAACATTTAATACACTTCATTATATTCTATTGTAGGCTCAATGGACTACTTGCACAAAGCTTCATGATGTACTTACAAATTGAAATAAAATGGCTTGCCTGTTTCTGGTTATTTGTATTTGATTAAATGATTGCTAGGAAGAAGATTTTACAGTATGTACAGCAGAAGCAGAAAAGGATGTATTCTAAACACTACTGTGCACATTATTTTTAAAATACAGTGGTTTAAATTTTTTTAAAGCTTTACTTCAGCCAAACTAGTATGAGAAAGCAATGGCTGGTAAACACTCTAACTGTATCTCTGTATCAGCTTGAACCTAAAATCACAGAAGGTTTAATGAGATTAAGGGTTTTGTACCAGCTCTCTTTATGTCTGAGGAGAGACGTGATGAATTTATACATCAGCCCTTCGTATGTTTTTATTATATTGATGTTTGAATCACTGTTGTGTACTTGTTTCATTACTTATCACTATATGTTAAAATGCAAATGCATGTTTTTTTGAATGAATTATTGCATAAATGTAGTAGAGTCGCCAAGGATAATGAGCTTGAAATGAATTAACGGGATCAAAAAGGCCTATAAAGTGTGTGCTAAATAAAAACTCCAGCGTTTCGAGCAGTATTGAACTTGTCCAACTGGCCACTGCATTCATGCGCTCAACAAACATATCTGTGATTGGCTACAATGCTTAACGTTTCAAAAACACATTGTAAATAGAAACCTCTGGCACTCTTCACAAAGTGCTCACACAAAAACGCATGGAAGCGCTGCTATCAATACATTTTTTAAATTTCAGTACTGACTTGGTACCAAATTACTGGTACTTTTGAAGAATTGCTCTGTCAATTCTTCGGCATCAGTTAGGAACCTAGGTGTGCTATTTGATAGCAATCTTTCCTTAGAAAGCCACGTTTCTAGCATTTGTAAAACTGCATTTTTCCATCTCAAAAATATATCTAAATTACGACCTATTCTCTCAATGTCAATTGCTTTGACACAATCTGTATTGTTAAAAGCGCTATGTAAATAAATGTGACTTGACTTGACTTGACTACTTTTGACAACACTACTACAAACAAAGCCTGAATGAAGAAACGTTCAATTTGAATGTTTGTTTTAATTACTTATAAGAGATACACATTTGTTTCTATAAAAAGTAAGCTTCCATACTTTTCTATAGTGCGTAGGAACCCTGTGAATGTGTTGTCTCAGAGGCAAGTGGTGTTTTGTAAATAATATGAAGTGAATACAAATGTGAAGAAAGCACCCAAAAAACAGCTGTATAATGTAACACGGAGACCAGTCAAATATTTTTACCAGTATTTATATTGCACATAATTTATAGCTACTTATGTATTTCATATAGATTTGATTTTATTGGTAACAGCCTTAATAGCCTTATTTATAATTACAAATATTGCATGTCAGTACTATGAGCACTAGTATAGCTACCTGTAAGACCTTGCAGAGGGGGAAAATCATGATAGGCCACGTCATCAAGCTTACAGAGGAGAGTCCCGAGAGTCTGACACAGTCTGTCGACCATGCCCTGAATCCGCGAGATGTGATTATTCAAGCTACAGATGAATGAGAAAAGACACTCCACGGGGTCTTGATGCAACAAACGCACTCCTGAGATGTTCAAACAGAACAGTTTTGTATTAAGAAGCACAGTTCAAAAGACCCTTACTTCTGCATCGTTAAAGGTGACCTCAGTATATTTTGGTTTATGTTGCACTTGGAAATATGTCAGTTGTCTTAAATCTATATTGACACCTAGCAACATTAATGCAGACTCATGCAGAAGCGAAAGTTTTCAGTTACGCATGTTATTGTAATATAGAGATGCAGTCAGCCATGATTAATCTGTTTCTCTAAAGTATGTTGCAGTGAATTTACATATTTTAAAAATTATTATTCAGTTCTATGTGTAAATCTTCTTTCAATGAGAAAAAAATCACACATTAAAACCATACAAAGATCAGTGGGTGTCAAAGTGGTGGGCTGGACAAAGTACTAATTATAGGGGGTCGAAATACAGTTGCAATCAAAATTATTCAACCACCTAGACCCGCCAGACATTTGGCTGCCGAGAACAAAATGTTATGGAAACAAGTCAACAAAGGCATCGGTAAAGTATTTGAGAAAGTTTATTAATACTCATTTGAGTGAGTCTGAGAATGTAAAGTTGATGAATAATGAAAAAAAAATCTAAATTATTCAATCCCCAAATGTAAAATGTAGTACAGAATCTTTTATTCTTTATAACCTCCATTAAATGCTGCTTGAGAGTGCTTAGAAACTTCTGTCACCTCTCTACTGCAGCATTGGCTTGCTTGAAAAAGTTAATATAGTAAATATAATAAAAGTGTTTCTTCTCTATAACTTTTGAAAGAGCTCCATTGATTTTGCCGTATTTGCTACTCAGCTTTAGCACATGCATGTTTATGTACAGTAGGTATAGAAAAGAATCACCCCCCTTTAAAATAAGCACATTTTGTTGCTTTGCAGCCTGAAATGAAGACGGACACAGTTTTTGTTTTATCCAGCTGTATTTACTCTGTGCAACTTATAGCATCCAAGTGAAAGATATAACACCAACATGTCAGAAAAAATTTAAATAAATAAATAAAAAACAGAATCACTAAGTTGGAAAACAGATCACCCCCCTCCTAAAAATGACTTGTAAACTTGTAAAAAAAAAGGTGTAGCTAATCACCTTCTCAATGGCACACAAAGCCATTTGACTTTCAACTGTGATCGGCTGTGCTCATTTTGATTAGCTCAGCATGAAAATAGTTTTCCTGGAGCATTTCAGTCCTTGGTAGTGCAACTGAAGGAAACAATCAACTATGGGTGGCAAAGCACTGTCAAAAGATCTCAGGGATAAAGTCAATACCCACTTTTTCTATACCCACTGTATATGTAACAGCTCAAGCTAATTCTGTTTTCTAATAGAGTCTGATCGTGTTTTAAAACAATTTTGTTCCCTACCATAAAAATAAGGGACTAACAGGGGATGAATAATTATGACATAGCTGTGTTATTAATAAATCCTATAACTCAGAAATATTACATTATATATTGACATTATCACTTTTAATATGCCAGTAAAACTTTATAGATGCATTTTTTAAATAAAATTCTGGATCTTCAGAAAAGCTTGTATTTGTAAAGTACTACAGTCTCTCTCTGGGGTTGAATAATTTTGATTGCAACTGTATATTGTGGCACACATATATTGAGGAAAAAAACCTGTTTGTGAATTTTTTTTCCAATTATTTGACTTAAACTCAACAAAGACTATATGTTGACTAAAAGAGTAGAGAGGAAGAAAGAGAAATACATTTATCTACAGCAACTTACCAAGGGTTGTCAACGTTAGGCAAAGGCAAAATATATGCTTTCAGTTCTATGGGAAAAAGCACCATGAAAATTCAAGCAAACACTGCATTAGCATTCGGTGGAAAATCATATGATGTGAAAAATATCTGAAAAAAAATTCATTTTTGGATGTTTGCTGTATGTTTGAAGTGTGGATCCACAGTGCTCCAGTCGCTGTAGAGATCCCCTAATTTAACACCTAACTGGAAATAGTCCCTCAGAAGTTCCTCCTCTTTGTTGTCAGGCTCTGACATCACTGTGCACAATCCCACCTCTTCCTGCTTCATGTCAATCTTTCTTCTTGACATCTTCCCCAATAACTGCTCCTCATCTTCCGCCTTCCATTTCTGTCTGTTTTCTGTTCCTGGATTTATTTGATGACTGTAAACATAGTACCATAACGTATCCTCTGTTTGAGTTAGTGTCCACACTTTTCCTCGCATTACTCCCATCCAGTGACCATCTGCAGTCTCACGCCATCTAAAAGGATGAGCAATATGGTCATACAATGGAAAAAAACAAAAAAAAACACAGAAGTTCATATGCATTAGCAAAAAAAAAAAACACGGTTTATTTCCGTGACAAAAAAGACTTTGTTCAGAATTGATTACTAGTTTACTACTTACACAATACTGCACAGTGCAACTGTATATAGCTGCTTACTGCTTTTTTTAAAATACAGCCCATATTTTCATATCAGTACTTCAGTATTTAGCAGCTTGGTGGGGGTGTTAATTATTTCACATGTGAAGAGGTGGGCCAGTCTTAACAGTCGTTTACACACAGACATATTAAAGGTACAGTATCAAAAACAGCCTGTTTAATTCTGATGGTTAGAGAGTGTGTAAAATTAAAATTATGACTGACTCTGGAGAAAGAGACAATGACAAACATTATAAATGGACATCAGGGAGTTAATAAAACGCAACAAGAACACATGGTGCCCCCTTTAAAAAAAGTTTATTTTGAACACAGCAATGAAACAGTAGTTTATAGTTTACCGGAAAGTCTGTCCACATCCCAGAGTGAGATCCAGCCGAAGCTCTGACCGGGGACATGAAAGTGACCGCCATGCCTTACAACCCGCAGAGAGCAGAGCATGCTGGGACATTATATAGCTCTGTTCCTTACACCATCAGAACAAATCAAGTCAGCTACTGTGATAACAAAAATACATTAAAGGAAAGAAATAATAAAATTAACTAAAGCAGATTAAAATTTATTGCATGAAAACACACACACACACACCTATGGTTTGCACATAAGAAAAGTTCAAATGAATGAGGTCTGTAGCTTACAAAGTGAAACATGCAAGACATGCCAGTATACTTAAAAATGTCATTGTGCACAGGGCCGGATTTGTGCATAGGCATTCTAGGCACGTGCCTATGCTCACTCGTCCAAGGGGGCCCAAACACAATGAAGAGGCTATATCATATTTTTGTTATAGCCTACTATGGGCTATCTACAACAGTAAGAGAACCAAAAAAAAACAGAAGACATTGAGAAAATAAATATAACAAACAATAGGGTAAAAAAATGACAAACTATTTCCATGTTTTCCACTTCTTTTATGTACAGAAATCACGCTTTCTTTCTCCCGTTCTCTCACGGACGCACACACAGTACAGACTCGCGCACAATAACTGCGGTAGACTGCATTAATAACTGCATTTAGCCTGCATATCAATGGCTCAAGCCTCTGTTATTAGCTCTAAAATTACGTTTTGGAATTTGCAACGGAAGGTTTGGGATGAGGTGCATAAGAAATTAGTTCAACACACACGAGATTTCAGGACGGAAACATCACCAATGTCTTAAAATAAATCATCTAAACAATGTCTTGATGTGTGGTTGTATAGGCCGTTAAAATTATTAGAGAAATAATGCACTCCCGAAGTGGTAATGTGGCCACGACGCCGGAGCCTATTAATGGAACGTCTTTCTCCGTTCTCAAACAAATTAAGAACTACATTAGATCTTTATTGACTGAACGCAAGCGCTTATTGCGATAGAAAACACTGTAATGGTTTCCACTGATTACAAAATATTTTTGTTTGCTGGGGTGGTAATATATTAAATAGGGAAGGGGGGCCCAATACACAATCTTCCAAGGGACACTCTACGGCTCAGAAAGAGAAATCCTCCATCAAGGTGCATTCAAATCTCAATTTGTTTGTTTTTATACCAGCCAATACGAGCTCTGAATCTAACAATACCAAGTATTGGTATCTGAGATAGAAGTCGAAATCGCCCTACTAGGCCCTAATAAATAACGATAATTGGTTCATTCTTCTTCTTCTTCTTCTTCTTCTTCTTCTTTGGATGTTTTATGGCGGTTGGCAAACCAGCTTAGATGGTGCATAAGGCGTATTGCTGCCTTCCTCACTTCATTTGAAGAACTCCGTTTAGTGGATTATATCCTTACATAAAGTCCGGGTCGGTGTAAAAATTTTAATAACAGCTAAGAATCTATTTTAAAGTGTTTTAAAGTTTTAAAGTGATTTATTGGTCCATCCTGATCAGTCCCGGAAAGTATGAGGTACCATGTGCAGCAGCGGCAGAAGCCGATGTAAAGGCGAACTATAGAATATTTGATAAAAATAAAAAATAAAAAATAAAACGTAATGTGGCTACTAGGACACTACGGAGGAGACAAGACAGTTTATCACTTCGATACATTTACATTTAAAAATTGCTCTTCTATAAGAGAAGTCACGTACAATTTTGCGACAGGTTTGGTTCAGTTTACGCCACTTCTCATTCATTTATATCGTATCCGCAAAACGCTATTAGTTGTTGCATTCATTGACGTCAAGATTATAATGTGATTGGCTAACATCTTACAAGCTGACCGAGCCGCGAAGATTGGTATCTCCCAATAATAAAACTCTCTGGCAGCGGTAAAAGTTGAAAGGAAGAAGATTGAAGAAGATTGGTTAAATTAAGAAGTTTAATTTATCGAACAACTCTAAAAATGTTCATATATGTGACATTTTTATAGTGTTTTCAGCAATAAAAAATAGCATCTGGATAGTCTGGATCTTAATTTACATTTTCTGAATAACAATACTGAGATACTTTAAAATACACAGTAAAGAATTAAAACATGCAAATTATCAATTTAAATCCTTCGTACAGGGCCAAATAGAAAGAATGTCTGGGCTGCGATTTCCCTAATTGTCTATAGGACAATTCTACTTTTAATCCGAGCGTTCTAAAAATGTTCTAAAAACGTGCCTCACACGGCTCTGAGGGGTGAACAAAGGCCTCCTGTAGCGAATTGATGCGTTTTTGTAAGAAAAATATCCATATTCAAAACGTAATAATCACTTTAATCTAGTTTGCGCCAACAGTTGTACACGAAGTAGCTCCGGGAGGATGACGTAAGATGTCAGCGTTGCGCATGCGCCGGTGAGTTTCGAGAAAAGCAACGTTTGTTAACAGGAGCAAAGGAAGCAAAGTTTCCTTACTTTAGCAAAGGAAAACCAGTCTCCTCTTGGCTTATATCGAAATCCTCCGACATACTTCTTTACAAATCCTCGTTTTGTACTTCTAATTCGTGACTGTTGTTTTGTTTTGATCTCTCCCCTGTGCTTCCGCGTGCATCACTTCTGAGCGGTGCATGCTAGCAACGCCGACTTATATCATCCGCCCGGAGCTGCTTCCGTGTACAACAGTGAGTGCAAGCTAGATTAAAGTGATTATTACGTTTTAAATATGGTTATGTTTCTTACAAAAACGCATCGATTCGCTACAGAAGGCCTTTGTTCACCCCCCGGAGCCGTGTGAGGTACTTTTTATTATGGATGGATGCACTTTATTTCACTTTTTTTGGACTGATGCACTGCAACACCCGCTGACTGCCATTAAACAGCTTGGAAGATCAAAGACAATTTTTAATATATCTCCGACTGGATTCGTCTGAAAGAAGAAAGACATATACACCTAGGATGCCTTGAGGGTGAGTAATTCATGGGCTAATTTTCATTTTTGGGTGAACTAACACTTTAAGTAGAGAGGTTTAGATAAAGGGGTTTGAATTACTAATAATCTACATTTAACCTGTTAAAAATGTTTATTTAATGTTATCTGTGTTATATTTCATCTACAACAACAATGTGAACTTTTATAAACATCCGTTTGGCCATTAACTTTTAAATGCAGTATCATTATGCAAAAAATATGAGCAGACCCACAGCTGTCAGTTCAAAGTGCTACATCTTTTCTCTCTAATGTGGTAGGAAGTTATATTAAATGAAATGTGGAGGATATAAACTGTGACAAGATGATTGACAGGCCAGTTTACAGTGACAGGATGCGTGTAATTGTGCGACAGAGCGTCTGTTAAAGACGCAATTGTATGACGTGATAGTATGTCCCAAAGCTTGCCTACTCTTCTACTACACACTCAAAAGTGTGTACTTTTTCTTCACCATAAAAGTACATACTTTAAGAGCGTAGTATAAGTAGGCATATTGGGACGTAGCATGTGTATTTTTTTTTCTTTTTTCAAAGGTCCCTTTAGAGGTTCTGTACTCGACTCATGCAACTATGGCTGTGTTCGAAATGGCATACTTGCTTGCTTACTGCCCAGTACACAGTGTATACTGCCTACTATTTTTTAAAGAATAGTGTGTGAAACAGTATACAATAAGCAACAAATGTTTCTCAACAATTACTCAACAAATGAGTAGTATGCTAAAGTGTTTTCACATGACAAAACATTAATTCAGCACAGCTGCTGAGGTTGTTACCTCACAAATAAATGTGCTAACCATTCTGTTTACAAAGGCTTGTTAATTAAATGTGTATATATATATATATATATATATATATATGTATGTGTGTGTGTGTGTGTGTGTGTGTGGTTGTACATACACATATATGTAGTTGTTTTTTTGTTGTTTGGCTTAGTGTTATGTTAGAATCATTATTATACTCTTATACCTTTTGTTCTTTAATATTTTGAATTGTTTTTAGCTTTATTTTTTGTTTTTCATTTAAATGTTAAGTTTTGAAATTTTGTTATATGCATTTGTCATTTTTATTTAATCTCTTTATTTTTAAAATGTGTATAGGTAGTATTTATAAAGTTTAAGCTTTTAGTTTTGGATCTGTTTTTAGTTGTTTTAATACTACAATTGATTGCTTCTGTTGTTCTCATTTGTAAGTCGCTTTGGATAAAAGTGTCTAATAAATGACTAAATAAATAATTAAGGATTCATACTAGTAAACAATGCTATATTGCCCAATTGAACTCATTACATAATTAATTAACTTTACATACTGAACAGAACTAATAATAATTGTGTGAACAGTAGTTAGGTGGTAGATATTTATATTTCAGTACTGTAGTACATTATAAAACAGTATGCAATAACATAGTGAGTTTAATTGATCATACTTACAGATTACAGACTTGCAAATATTAATTACTGCGGGAAGTAGGGGTGCTGGGGGTGCTGCAGCACCCCCTGGAGTGTAGCCCACGAAAAAATGGGGGTGCGGTGTTAAAAATAAATGAATGAACAATATGTAAAACAAAATAAATAATATTCATTTTATTAATTAGTATATTCATTAAAATTCATTGAAAAAAAGTAGCCTAAGCCTGTAATGACAAGAAGCAACAGTTAAATATGAGTTAAGTTGAATCAAATTGACTGTGAAAGTCGTTTCGACTGATTAAACGTATTAAACTGACTTAAAAAATCATTTGTTGCCATGATTTTTGGATTATATTATAACCTGTAACATGTCTCTGCCGTACCCAAATTAAGAATTAACAACAATTCCTACAGACATTTTGACTTTTTTTAAAACTCTGATTGATCGATTCATGAGACATTCGTTTGTATTAAGTTGTTCTGATTTTTTTTCAACATGCATTCACATATTCATGTTTATTTCGTGCTGCAAATATTAAAGAAGAAAATATAATTGATTCATATGCAGCTTGAACTGAGGCGAATTCTCACACATTTACACATTACAAAAGATGTACACATTTTTTGCATATGGGCCCGGGGCTGACTTGCTACGCCTCTGAATAAGACTGATGTACCCGCGTTGTAACAGAAATAAATGTAAGGTTTTTGGATTTTCCCCTTACTTTAAATGCATGCTTATGGCTCATTATTATTAATCGAAAAATACCCCCCCACGTTTTATTTCTCAGCCCCCCCAGCTCAAAATACGTTCCCGCGGCTATGCAAATATTATTAAATGAATGCCACTTTATTGGGACAAAAACCTCCCTACACCTCCGCTAACCACCTAATAACACTGTATTATTAATGAGACGTTTTATTTCCAATTTTCAAATATTTGAAAAGTATAATATAAATAATGGAAGTCGTGGCCTAATGGTTAGAGAGTCGGACTCATAACCCATTTTCAAATATTTACTTTATTTTTATTGAAAATAAATGCCTTGCTGATCTGATATGTGATGGGAAAAAGGATAACAAGTTTGGCAAAGGGTGGTCTCGAACTCAGGTCGCTCGTGTCAAACTCGATTATCACACATCTTTTACTCGCTGCGCTACTGATACTACAGATAAATAGGCATCTTTTGCAGTGCTGTTTATCATAGCCAGACATTGGTGAGCGGAGTTAATGTAACTAGTCTCTGGCAACAAATTGGTCTATTTGTGCTTTCACTCCGTTTCTTTTTAGAGCTAGGAATTGAATTTTGTTTCCATAATTGAAATATGATTTTAATTTATATATTATGTTATATATTATATTACTGCAATATTTTTATTATTCAATATCTTTGAAATAATATGTACTGTATAAAGCGCTATAGAGATAAAGGTGACGTCATTTGACTTGAGCGGAAATGTGCTGTAGAGATTAAAGTACAATTTATGTCCTACTTACGATATTGTTTTTAGATACACAGCGATAGTTTGTAGTTTACAGTAACATGTATATATGTACAAAAGTGTTACATTTATAATTACTATTCCCCGCCTCCAGTTCACTCACGCGTTTGAAGATGAAACATTACATGGAGCGCGTTGCGTTCTGAGAAACAGTATCCCATGCAGTGTCTTCAGATGCATACAGCAAATGTAGCAGCCAGGTAATCCGGACATTCCATGCATACAGAACATTCACTTACTATTCAAAGTTTACACACAGCATACTGCAATATAGTAGGAGTTGTATGGTAGTATTCCATTCCGAACACAGTTTCTGTACTGATTTCAGTGTTCTTGAGTTATATTCAGCAGATTCTGGTAAATATAGTAGGTCATCCGGGTATTTCATGCATACAGAAAATTTGCACACTATGCACAGCATACATACTGGATACTGCAGAAATTTTAAGAGTAGTAGGATTGTATGGCATTTCGAACACAGCATGAGTGTCAAAAGTAGCGCACCGATTATTGGTGGAAGAATGCACAAATCTAATCGGAGACGTCATGATTCGTACCAATCCGAATCCCCGTTTGCTGAGGGTTGTCGTAGGTCCACGCCTTCTGCAGGGTTGGCGGAAGTGTAAACCAGCGTGTGTGCAGGAAGAGAAATGGCGGACGCGGTGTCTATCTTCATGTCAACTGGCCTTAGTGAGCAGAAAGCTAAGGAAACATTGAAAAATGAAGCACTCTCGTCAACACTCAAGAAGGCCATCGAACAGGTACATAATTAATTAATACGCATGATGTGCTGTCAACCTCATCAGCCTCTAGAGAACTTATTTGACAGATTCTTTACCCGTTACATTTACAAGAAGTATTTGGAAAAGATTGGTAACATTAGTGCTGATGTTATTGTTGTGTTTTTTTTCAGGCTCGAGGGCTGCTGGGGTCCGCTGGCATTGAAAAGACTGCAGGCACTCTGCTGTATAATATGGTGACACGACTCAAAGACTCCAATCGACTGTCTTTCCTCACAGAATACATCATTACACGAAAAATAACCTCAGAACTGCAGCTGTCAGGTATCTGATTGTCTTTACGCTTCTGTCACTCTGTTCTTTTTTCAATGTGTTGTCTTTTTTGAATAATATGTAGAGATCAGTAAAATTAGTAAAAAGTTTAATTAAATACATTTTATGCGATTTAAGAATCACAAATATGCATATGTTTTGTGCAATTCTAGTAAAACTGTTAGTCTTTTTAAATGACCTTAATAATCTTTTTTTTTAACTGCAAGAAAACAAACAGCGCTGGATTGAAATACAATAACATAAAATGAAAGTGAAAGAGAAAGAAAAAAAAGACTTCAATCAGTACAAAAGTAAACACAATCCAAGTACAATTAATCATAAATCATAATTTAAAAAAAACTTGTTTTATTGTTATCAGTGAGTTATTGTTAAGAGTTTAAAATTACAATAAGTGCGCCCCTCACATAAATATAAGCCAATTAAATTTAGCAGTGATTGCGATTGCGGGAAAGCGAAAACAAGACATGCAACTGGTTGACAATGACGAGATTTATTAGACTCCAGATAATCAACATAATTTGGAAAGATGAAAAGAAAACAAAAACATAAATATGAAGAGAAAACTATAGCAAAGAAGAGTAGATTGTCAGAAATAACTTAAAATGAACCCTCACGTGATGTTAGTGCTCATTAGCGGGACCCTTTATCATGAGTTCAGAGGGCTTCAATGATTTGCATTTCACCACTTGCTGACATTTTTATTTCTGATATTTTTCACAGTGGCGTTGGACTTTTTAAAAAGCCACCCTCAGGAGAATCTGGATCAACTTGAGTTTGAGGCCGCCTGTGGGGTGGGAGTGGTGGTCACACCTGAGCTCATAGAGGATGCGGTAAGGACACTTCATTCACCAAGGTTTTCTGTAGTGTGAGTACAGACTTGTAGGAGGAGATAAAATATGCCAGTCAAGATGTTCAAAAAAAACTGGGCACTCCTACTTATTTTTTATAATTACTCATTTCTAGGGCTGCCCTCGACTAAAAAATGTTCTGGTTGACTAGTAGTTGTTCATTTTAAGCATTAGTCAACTAATCACACGTTTATTAATAAACCATTTAAATCATGCTAATGAGCCATTAATTGCCTACATAGCCTAATAAGCGCTCAAGCGCACGCATAAAGCTTGCCACAGCGCAGAAGTAATGATAATGAATGTTTCAGGGAAAAACAGTAAGATTAAATTTTAATATTAACATTTTAATATATTGATGAACTAGTGTTTTCTGTGTTGTCGGCTTAAGAAATGAATTCGGTGACACTGACTCGTTATCTCCACAGCAGTGGATGCGCCTGCATGCAAGTTTCATATGGATTACATAATCTGAGAATGTTTTTTTGTTTTTTTCAGATTAGAATTTTCATTTGAAAGTAGACATTTTACTCCCTATAGATATATTTTTCATGTCTGTAAGGCAAGTATACACCGAGTTTTGAGCTCAAATTCACAGAGACCGAGACGGCAGAAAGCGCATCCTGTTTGCTTTCATTATTTTACAAAAGCGCAATGTTTTGATGCTATTGTGAGTGCACGCAAATAAACGTAGAGGCTTTACAGATTCGAAAGATGTATTACTCTTATCTGTATGACCAAAATGACGGAGTATTTTAAGAGCAAGTGACCGCACCGGTGCCTCCATCTGTCATGCAGTGAGCGCGCTGCTGTTCAGACACTTGAGTAGCGCACATTTTTCTAGGTTAACATTAGATTGAGTGGCCATGTAAAGTTGCTACTACTTACATATTTCAGATGATAAGATGATATTTGGTCGATGAATGATAGGCGAGCGTTTGGATGTACTGTATTACCACAAAATCCAGCCGTCAACGATCTGTCCGTCACGAACTGCATGACCTCACCACTTCCTGTGGATTTTTTTTTCTGCGACTAATAAAATTTTGGTCGACTAAAGGTTAGTCGACTATTAGGGCAGCCCTACTAATTTCAGAATATTATTATTTTTAAGATGAAAACTGAGCAGATAGAGGATGCGGTAAGGACACTTCATTCACCAAGGTTTACTGTGGTGTGAGTACAGACTTGTAGGAGGAGATAAAATATGTCAGTCAAGATGTTCAAAAAACTGGGCACTCCTACTTATTTTTTATTATTACTAATTTCCGAATATTATTATTTTTAAGGTGAAAACTGAGATGCTTTTAAAGAGTTCTTATGTATGCTGGACAGTTGTTGACTGCTTTTAATTCACTGTCTGCTCCAGCTCATTGGCGTTTCCCCAGAAGCTTTTTTTTTTATCATAAATTTAAGCTGATGAGGAGAAATACCAGGTTCATCTGAATGACATGTCTCTGTTCACATATTTATTTTTAATCATTTATTTAGTGGCAAAGCATTGAAATGGTTTCCTCTGTTTATTCAAGCAATTTTTTTCCAGCATGTTTCAAATATGCTAAAAATATACTAGACTTTCACAGTTTTCAGTTAGCACTTTATGAATTCTAATCCGTCATTGACATGTGAATAATTCCACAGGTAGAATTGATTATCAGGAAACACAAAGATCAGCTGTTGGCAGAGAGATATCGCTTTAACATGGGCATACTCATGGGTGAGGCAGCATATCATATGTGTGTGAATACAGTCATGTGTGGTGCTGCTGAGGAACAGTTTCGGTTTGTGCTCTTCAGGTGAGGCCAGGACTGCTCTCAAATGGGCTGATGGGAAGATTGTCAAGAATGAAGTGGATATGCAGGTTTGCGGGACTTGCTCTAATCAGTCCAAATCATTGTGTATTTCCGTGTGTATGTGCACTGAAATTTTCTGTTGTTTCTCAGGTGCTGCACCTTCTGGGTCCAAAAACTGAGGCAGACCTGGAGAAAAAGCCCAAGGTATATTTTTACTGTCTCTGTTTTGTTGTGCCACACACATACCCCTTTTCTACTGAAACAGTGCTGGTGAGGATCTGGTGCAAACCATGGGGTTCTGTGAACCTCTCTCATAGCTTTTTCAACATTGATGTAACTGTAAATAGGCAGGCTATGTTGTACCAGTCCAAAATAGATGCATCACAGTTTTTGATTGCAAGTCTTATTCCTGGTTTTAGACTTCCAAAGTAATGTAACAGTCAGTTATCAAGTACTGTACTAATATGTAGATAATGTAAATGTATGCAGTCTATCGTGGGATGTGCTTGATATTAAAAGCACATTAATCTGAAGAAAGAACTAACTACACTGTTCCTCAGGCGCTTTCTATGTACACAAACCAGTGTTCATTTTGACAGGAAATTGAGTTTTAGTTTTAGTCATAGGCTTTTGAATAAAATGCTATTTAGTTGTAGTCATATTTTAGTTATCTCAGGTTGTTTTGGTTTTAGTCAGCTAAATATCATAAGATTTATATCAGAATCTAACAGATTTAGTTAAATTGTAATGCATTAATTAAGCATTTTTCTAAAATGTCCAAACTCATAATAGACTCCAGGAGAAAACATCTATCTACCTAATAATATGAATGATGTCTTTGTTTAGCTTAAGATTAAATAAAACCACTACTCGTAAACCAACAAGAACATGGTATTTTTTTCAATAAAAGACTAGTAGTTATATATGCATTCATTGTAACGATTTGCATACAACATCTTCATTCTTTCATATTTATTTGTGTAAACTGTGATTCAGTCAAGAGCAGTGAGTGATTTTCTCTTTCTCTTTTGTTATTTGATTAACATTAAGGACACATGCAGTAGCAGGTATATTAGGATGCTGTCAATTTAAGACCTAATGCATGGATGCAGTATTCTGATACACATCTGATATTCTCCCAGCTGTTTACGTTCACTTAAAACATAACTGACTGTGTTCCTAAATTATGTCCCACCGGGTAGATACGTTACAGTTCAAATGTGGGCATCTAATCTCCCTACCAGGCATATGTTTCATATCAGATTGAGTTGTTGTTGTTGTCGGGCAAGAACAACAAAAACAGGTTTAACAGTCTTTACTTCTGAGGCATACACAGAACAGGGCAAGTTTTGGCATCATTGCTGACACCCGCACCATACTGTTTTAAAATGCATAACAGGGATTTCTGTAGTTCTTATGTCAACTTTGCAGCTTTTTCTCTCATCACAGGCTGCCAAACCCAGAGCTGCAGAGAAAGATGTGAAGATTGAGCAGGTTTCTGTAGAAAATGGTAAGACAGACATTTTTTTCACATCACTTTTATATGACTCTCATGCATCTTTGGTTTTGTGTAAATGAAATGCTGCATCATAGATACTAGGGTTGGGTAGTATGACAATGTATTGTGGAAACAATATGAATTTTCTTTTGAAGAGATTGTGGTACATTGTGGTTCTGTACATATATATTGTTGTGAAACGCATGACTGATTAATGCAGGCATGTACAGGACATCGGGAGCACCGGGACATTCCCAGTGAGCCGGTCGAGTAGTGGGCCGATCGCCGAAGTGAGGGAGACCTCCCCCATATTAGGCGCTGTTTTTAAATATCAGCGCATGCGAAACTGCAAAAAAGCAAATACTGCATGCGCCAGCCACACGCAAAAACAGAGCGGGATCAGTCACCCGTACAGCGCTGATGAAGATGCGCTGCTCTTCCGCCACGATGTAAAGTCAAATAGCACAAGATTCACACTTGATCCATTCAGATGTGACACAGAATTGTGTTATACAGTCATGTGGGATATGAGAACATTAAAGGTTCTGTAGTGATGCTGGCTGAAAACAGCCACGACAATGTAAACTGCATGACGAGGCAAATTGGAAAACGCCAATACATAATTACAAGCTTGTCAATTCAGCACCATAGTAATTTAACTTGCAGTTATTAACACTGTACAAATAGCCTACGTTGTTTTGGCTGAATGTATTTATTATAAATGATACTGTTATTACTTATATTAAATATTGGGGAATATTTTACTTTTATAGAAGTTGTTTGTAGTTTCTACATGTTTAGGCTTTTTTTCTTTACATTTCAAATTCCATATTTTGTTGTTATTTATTTTAAAAACCATAAAACCTTGGTAATGAGGACCGTGGTTTTACTTGTTGTGACCACCATCTTACTAATACCAGTCAGTTAAACTATGGACTCTATGAACTATACTAACTTTCATTAGGGAAAAGGATAATTTAATAGAATAGCTTTAATAGCTTCTTTCTCTGTAAATGTTTAGTTCTAATTAATTTTAATTGAAGTAAAATGTTAATTCAGTAAGAGCCTGATTAAAGATAAATACCAGTGTCTTATATAAATTAGGTGTTAACTATTTACAAATGTTTAAGTTCTTAAAGGGATAGTTCACCCAAAAATTTAACTTGTCATTGTTTACTCACCATCGCGTCATTCCAAACTTGTATGAATTTCTTTCTTCTGTGGAACATAATTTGAGAAATTCAAGAAATGTTTGTTCTTACAGTAGAAATCCAGGGTAACCAAAAATGGTTTGCCAACATTCTACAAAATATCTTCTTTTGTGACCCTGGACCACAAAACCAGTCATAAGGGTAAATTTTTCGTAGTTGAGATTTATGCATCATCTGAAAGCTGAATAAATAAGCTTCCCATTGATGTATGGTTTGTTAGGATACGACTATTTGAAAATCTGGAATCTGAGGGTGCAAAAAAATCTAAATATTGAGAAAATCACCTTTAAATTTGTCCAAATGACGTTCTTAGCAATCAAAAATTAAGCTTTAATATATTTACAGTAGTAAATATACAAAATATCTTCATGGAACATGATCTTTACTTAATATCCTAATGATTTTTGGCATAAAAGAAAAATCTATAATTTTGACCCATACATTGTATTTTTGGCTATTGCTACAAGTATCCCCCAGCCACTTAAGCCTGGTTTTGTGGTCCAGGGTCACTTTTGTGTTCCACAGAAAAAAGTAAGTCGTACAGGTTTGGAACGACATGAGAGTGAGGAAATTTACATAATTTAATAGCAGTAAATTTTCTGCATTTTAGCTCAAGATCATTGCATTATTGCCTTTCTATTATTATTATTATTATGTTAATTTTGAGATACGTTGTTACACTCAGATTTGCAGTATGTAACAATACGGGTCAACACTTTATTTTAAGGACCAATTCTCACTATTAACTAGTTGCTTATTAACATGCATATTACGAGCATATTGGCTGTTTATTAGTACTTATAAAGCACATATTAATGCTTTATTCTTCATGACCATATTCTACATCCCTAATCCTACCCCATACCTAAACTTAACAACTACCTTACTAACTAAGAAGTACAGAAACGTCTGTACTTCCTCAACAGACCATGAAACAGCCATTATTTTGTTGTTTTAAAAAAGGTGCGCTCGTTCGAAACTGTTGCATTCGTTCAAAAAAAGTTGCGTTTGGTCCTCGCTGGCTGTGCTGATTTAATCTAGCTGGTCTAGTGTCTCGTGTCGCAAGTTCAATGACGCAGGTAGTGATGATTCTCTCCGGCCAATCAGCGATCAGCAGGGTTTACACGTCATGGTTTGGTAACGGTACGGTACCAAATGTACCAGGTACCCCCAGAAGCGAGCCGTGCCGTACCATGCAGTGGAAAAGCACCATCTGACACACATCTGAAGCACGTGCACAGAAATCCACCTCTCAGACAGCAAATGCATCCCGAAATCTGTTCTCTTTCTCTGCTTATTGTGCTTGAATGGTCCAAAACACACTGACAGAACCCAAGTTATGCCAATATGCCCACCTTGGCAAGTATTAACGTAAACATAGTCAGTTGACTTGTCTTCTTTTTAATGTAAGTGTGGAAGTAGCCCTTATATATAAAAAAAAAACAAACATATTTTTGATGATGTTTGTCAGTCTATGCTCACTATTTCTCATATAGTATGGTTTATTCAAGTTATACTGATGTGAATAAACCTCTTACTTTGATTGTTAAACTTTGATATGTAGTTGACTTTCAGTTGTGCCATGGAGAAAAAAAATTATACCTCCTTTTTTTATTTTCCTGGTGGACAATAAAACGGAAATATCACATGGACTTGCATTCACCCAAAAATAAAATTTGTGTCATAATTTACTCACTCTCCTTTCATTCAGACCCTCCTTGACGTTTTTTCCTTCCTTGGAACACAAAATGTTGGCAGCCAAAGTTTTATTGACCATAGACCTCCATTGTATGGACAACAAAACACAGACATTTATCGAAATATCTTATTTTATTGTTCTAAAATGTAAAGTTAGTTATACAGGTTTGAAACAACATGAGAGTGAGGCTATATCTGCGTTAATCTGTGCACATTTAAAAACGTTGTTTTCATTTTAAAGTGCTCTGTCCACACTAGCGTTTTCAAGTGTTTTCTAAAAGTTTCTTGTCCGCATTGAAATGTAGGAAAATGCTAAAATCATCTTACTGCGCATGTGTAAAACGAAATGAAAGCTCACTGTGGTGGTACAGAGAGACCTGACATAATAAAGTTGTCAAGCTATTCTTTTAGTGTCATTATTTTATTAGCAAAATAAAATGACCACCACTTACTGGTGGTTCCAGTGTGGAAATTTTCTGTCATCTTTGCAGGAATGTGATATGAAAATCATACGAAGTAACATAGCTTTAGCAACACTGTGAAAGTGAGTAACACATAACAGGCACATAATGGTATAAACAGATATTTATCGGTACGATATACATCACACATGCGTTTCAAATACCTCAGTTTTCACAGTCAACACTACAATGCGAAACAGTGTTTTCAAATATATCCACTTCAGAGAGCGTCTTTGAAGAGCTTAGTTTTCACCAGGTAAAAACACCATCTCAGTTTGGCAGAATGGAGAGAAAAAGATTCATTTTCAGAAGTATCCGGATTACTGTAGACTTAACGTAAATGATGACAAATTTAATTTTTGGGCAAACAATTCCTTTAAAGGAATGGTCTAAACAAGCCTAAGTGAAATCTTCATCATATACAGCGATCATATCTTTACACAATTCTTGAATTAAACTACTCCGTTCATATGCATCCATTCATTTTGACCTTTTTAGTTTTGAATACCTAAGTTTTGATTACCTGGACTTTAAGTATAAAGGACAGAAGCAACCTAGAACCCAAACTTTTTCTTCATAAATCTCTCTCTCTCTGTATATATATATATATATATATATATATATCTTTGTAGGTGAAGCGAACACAGAGGGGAAATCACTGATGGAGCAGCTGAGAGGAGAGGCGCTCAAGTTCCATAAGCCAGGTGAGACCGCTGACATCTCTGTGTCCAGGAATCAGTGGCAGCTTCATAGGCTCTGCAGAGTTTGAAACAGGATCTCTGCACAGTTGTGTACAATGTACCATCAGGGGAAAATTGGCTAAAAGTGAATCATGTGGTTTATTGTTCTCTCTCTCTAGGGGAGAATTACAAGACCGAGGGTTATGTTGTAACTCCCAACACCATTACTTTGCTGAAGAAGCACTTGGAAGAGACTGGAGGACAGGTATGACCTGAATGCAAGTTTATTAAATGCCTAAAAGTCTTTTGATGAACATTATCCAGTAGCCTGCGTGGCCTAGGTGTCATCAGAGGCAGCAGAGGTTATTACATTTTGATCAAGATTAAGAAGGTAAACTGTTTTGTTTTTTGTAGTGATGTGCTGAAATTTCGACAACCTGAAAATTTTCGTCCAAAACTAAAACTGATTATATTTTTATTTAGCCTGTTGTATTCATTATTTAATGTATGTTTGACTAAATCTGTCATGAAAGCAAGCTTTTATTACAGTCACTGTATAAATGTTTATATTTCAACAGCAAATTAGAATAGAAACGTTATTAAAAAGTTGACATAACTGCGTTATGTGCAATTTAAATGTTTGTACCTGAATTTTCGTTTTTGGTGCTTCACTAGTTTTTTTTTTGTCTTTTGAATTAATGTCATGGATGAATTGCACAATAATCGCTTTTCCTCCGCTTCTTTGTAGGTCCGCACCCGTTTTCCCCCTGAGCCTAATGGGATTCTGCATATTGGTCATGCCAAAGCAATCAATTTTAATTTTGGTTTTGCCAAGGTACACACACAAACACAAACACTCTCTCTCACACACACACACATACACATATGAACAATGTATGTCTAACAAGAAATTCCTTTCTGAATTTGTGTATCTGTTTGTAGGCCAATAATGGCATCTGTTTCCTGCGGTATGACGACACAAACCCTGAGAAAGAAGAGGAGAAGTACTTTACTGCCATCAGAGAAATGGTGGAGTGGCTTGGTGAGTATTAAGATCTGACTTGCCTGAGCAGTCAGTCTAAACCAGATTGCTGTTTACAGCTGGTATTCAATGAGTAGTTTAAGCAAACATGAAAAGCATGAAAAGCAGACACTTAAAGCCTGCTATACTACCTTTTGCAGCAGTGTGTGCTTGCAATGCATTATGCATTTAAACACATTTTAGAACAAGATTTAAAAGGAAAAAGAAATAAAGAAAGGGCTTTGTATTGGACTACAAATATTACAACATTTCAAAGGTGAACTTTTCCATTAAAGAGCATTCTTCACATATGGATGTTTGCTTGTTTGTTCCTCTCTTTCACTCAGGGTACAAACCATACGCTGTCACACACGCCTCTGATAACTTCCAGCTACTCTACGATCTTGCTGTTGATCTCATTCGCAGGTGGGATTACAAACCTGATGCCTCAGGGCCCTATGTCCCAGGCTTTGCAATAGTTTTTTTAGATTTTCTTTTTTTTTATATTAATATTAATATTGGGACACAGTGTATACAACTATTCATGAGCTTTGAGTCACTTGTGTGCCTCAATATTTTTTCACAGTTGCACACGGTAATTTTCAGTCATAAATGTGACTGCAATGGTTGCACTGCACCTACATTCAACAGCTATTGTGCCAATCAAACTGTAAAGATTAAAAAAAATGAATGGAATGCTTAAATCGCACACTGGATCTCGATAATAAAATATTCAAGTTGAAAATCTTTACTTATGTACATTGTGATATTCATTGAGAATAAAATGATGCGACAAAGGTCGACGGAGGCCAAAATGATCAACCCATTTAGGGTTGGATTTAAAATCACACCAAAAATCAGGGCATCAGTGAGCTCCTAGACAGACTGTGGTGCTACTTGGCAGCTTTGGATGCTCTGATACAGAATGTCCCAGAGTTTTTCAGTTGTATTCAGTTCTGGGGAACGTGATGGCCAGTCAGTGGCATCAGTGCTCTCCAGAAACTGCCTACACACTCTGGCCATGTGAGGCCGGGCATTGTCATGCACCAGGAGTATGCAAAAAACAGTGGGAAATTCAGTATATTTGTGCAGTGTGTGCATGTCAAAAAAAAGATTAAATCCGATCATTTTAATTAGCCTTCAACGACATTCTAATTTATTGAGATGCACCTGTATATGAGCAGTAGTAGTAGTGAATACCTAACCACCACAAACTAATGAATTTATGCCATTTTAAATTAAAGCAAGCAACTGCAGAAACTGAATCTAATAATATAGACTTTCCTCTTTTCAGTTGTAACTTTTTAAAAGATTTGATAGTTTCACTAATCAGTTTTTCCTTTTTTGTCATTCTTAGTATTCCATAACAGTGATCGAAAGTGCCTTAGTAGACCGTTCTGTGGGCAAGGCCAAAGTGTTTGATAGGTTTCAGTTTGAGAGAGTGGGTTATTTTTCTGTTGACCCTGATAGCACATCTGAAAAGGTACTTCCAGAAACACTCAATTACATTAAAATATATTAAATAGATGTACAAAACATACAGTGGAGGAAAGCAATGCTTCATCTTTGTCACTGTTTTCTCCCCAGTTGGTGTTCAACAGAACCGTTACGCTCAAGGAGGACCCAGGAAAGATATGACTGGACTTCAAGACAGAAGCTGTACTTTCAGCTGCACAGCCTTAATGCATCACAACGCAGCTTTCAGTAAAATCAGATAAACCAGGGAATTCAACGTATTCTATCAATATTGTGTAAAGCCTTTTTTTTAACTGTGCAAGTGCTGGGCTGTTTTGTATACCCTTTTCAATCTGCTGGGGTTCGGCATCTATGAAATAAACTAATTAAAGATTTTGACTTGATGGCTTGTTGGAACAGTTGCTAACATGTGAAATGGATTTCCATTTGAAATAACCTTCACATTATAAACTGCATGGCTTTCTTGGATAATCTACCTTTCCTGTGAACAACAAAAAAATCTTTTTCAATTACTATGAGAAACTTCTTAGGATACCAGATTAGGGTTAATGCATTCTAATTCATTAAATGTTAAAGGTTCCCTTGATGGCGTCCTACTTTTAATTAATTTTCAAAATATTATTTTGTGATAACTACATTTAAAGATGCATGGCAGCAGTGCAAAATAAATGCATTTATTGTTAAATGTACTTTACAAAGGCCAGTATCTATAACTATATTTCGAACAGGATTTTAATGTGTCTTCCAATGAAAGTAGCACACGCTATTTGTACATTGCTTACAAAGCACAACTACACTATTTATTTAAACCATCTTATTCATGGTACTGAAAAGCCATGAATTTGCACATGATATTTTGTCACATTTTGCCTAAATTTAAACCACATTAAAATGGCCACCACACAGAGCCCTGATGCAGTATTGGATATAAATAAACTTGGTTGACAAGACATATGACAATCCGAGCAGCTGGGTCCTTAACCATCTTCAAGAAACTACTAAAAACACATCTCTAACTCTAGCACTTTCTATTCTATTTTAATTCTACTTTATTTTTTATAAAAAAAAAACTTCTATCTACTTGTTTTTCTTTGTGTGTGTATATATATATATTTATATATAAAACAATACCTTGCTACGTGTACTGCGTTAGGCTAACTGAGACTTGTCATTTGCACTTACATATTGTTGCTCTTTTGTTAGTTTTGATTGCTTCTATTGTCCTCATTTGTAAGTCGCTCTGGATAAAAGCGTCTGCTAAATGACTAAATGTTTATGTAATGTAAATATGACATAAAAGCAGTAATGCTCATTCACATTACATGGGTTTGGACAATGAAGACATCAGAAACACATTTTCTGTTTGTATAGGGTTGTTAAAAGGTAAGTTACAGGTGTCTGGACACCTTGAAATATATGGTGGCCAGCATAGGTGCAATTATTATATAAAGTCATAATATGACAATACAAACTGAAACAGAACATTCAATGAATAGGGAAAAAATGAAGGGTGGAACTTGATTTTTATTCAGTCAATTGACTGCATGGTGAAAAGTGGGTGTTTCATACCTGAATGGAGCCAGTTTATTACATTATTATCAAAATTACAATGTTTTCTCTTTTAGAATAATGTGCATTGTTGAATTGTGCACATCAATACCAGAAATCTAAAATAAATGGTGTAAACACTGATTTCTTGTAATGCTCAGGTTTCATGATGTTCATGCCAAGCTTCTCAAGGCTTATTGATTTAATAGCTTCTATATAGTGTTTGGATCTCTTAACCCACCACATGCTGGTGGCGGTGGTGTGTTGGGGACAGGAGGTTAGTCTGTCTTCTCAAGGGTGTTATTGTCTTGCAAACAGAATGTGAGAGTTTGGGGATTGTTGTTGGATCTGCTGTTGCAGTATGGGTGCTCTCTTCTTGAGTTCTTTGGAGGTCTGCCAACAGCTCTTCGTCCAGGCAAAGCACTTCTTCTCCGTGGACCTGTAGCTGGTAGTACATTGATCTGATTGATTATCGGAGTGGTCTTACCAAAGGAAAAGAGTGATGCCTGAAGAGCACTGTCAGTCTTTATTTGAAAGAAACTGGACACAAAAGCTCTTACAGGCGGTGTAAAACTTGCATCCTCATTCAGCTTCTTTTTCAGCATCCCAAAAATCTCCTCAAGCTGTCCATCTAAAGACCCAACGACCTCTTCAGCTGCACCTAAACAGATAGATACAATGCTAATGACTGTGTTGACTGTTAACAATTTTAGTCTGATTAATGTGAGATTATTAATGTAAGATGCTTAAATTACGTACTTGGGCCTGGCTCATTGTCTTCTGTGAAATGCTCTGCTTAACAACAGAAAGACTGTTTGTGTACATACTGTAATAGCCCATGTAATAATCACTTAACAAAATGTCTGCTTCCATATTAAATCTGTATCTCAGAAAACACTGAGACACAGCTCACATACAGAGTCACAAGACCACAATAAGCACATTTTGACTGGTCTGTTTCATATGTGAACTGCGTCTCACAAAGTGACCAAAGATGAGTTGCTTCACCTGTGGTGATGATTGGCACAGCATCAACAGACACTCCATCTTCAATGCATGCGGTGTGTCCTTCTGCTTGTTTTAGAGAAAGAACAATGTGAAATCTCTTCTATAATATCTCTTCATAGACAACTATTATTTATGTAGTCTTGTTTTATTTCAGCAGGTGCATGAAATATGTCCCTATTCACCTGTATCTGCTGTTGTCTCCCGTGATTGTTCCAACTCTAAGGGTTTAAAAAGCTCGTCTGAAATGTCCTTCCCTGAACAGACACCCATATATTGCACAAGAAAAAAAAATGGAATTAAACAACAGTTTTCTGCATTTGCATGCAAATAATATGATTTAATTTAAATAAAAAAGGCAAACATTTTGAATATATCTGTAACACTTTTTAAATTTTAAGTATATATCCTATTTATACACACACTCATATTTTTTGTGTAACTAAGAGTTACAATTAAGTAAAAAGGTGGGCTGGGCAGTATAATGACTTTGTAAAAATAGCAATATCTTTTCAAAAACAATGGGCTGGGTGGTATATTTACTTTGTAAGATATATCGACATCTTTTCATAAACACAAGACAACTGTTTATAAGAGTATAGAGTGGTGTGATGTTGCAAGCACATTTGAAAAATAGCGAGTACGCAGAGTGAGCTGTTGCAGGGAAAGTGCAATATCCAAATGGTCCTAAATATGAGACATGCTTTATTTTAAGCCCTTCAATAATGCTTCATGAGCATATAGTTTAAAGTGCCTTACCCTTACATTTCATTCACATTTTATTCATAACTTAGATATTCTCATCTGTAAATTTTAGAATGTCATGCGAGTATTTCCATTTTGCTTAAAGGATGCAAAGAGAATGGATGGATAAAGGCTTGTCCTGACAGCGAGCTAGTCTCCGCTAAACTTCACAGACCTGGCTAAAGGAGCATGTGCATGTGCATGCACATCAAACAGGCTGAGCGCAACTATGAGGGCACAGGGCAGTATTTCTGACTAAAATAAAATATACATTATGCTAAAACATTTGTTGTTAGACGTGTTTTAGACATTTGTTGTTCCACATTTATAAAATATAGTAATTATAAAATATTTTTTATAAGAGCAGTAAGATCTCATCAAGCCCTGTATAAGAACAGTTACCTCTGAGTCTTCTACCTCTGTTCCTGTAACAGTAATATTTACATTTGAACCCTTCATGTAGGCTATAACCTAGCCTACACGGATACATTCACTATATTTATTTTCATAGCCTTCCATTTGCACATTGTCCTATCTATCTATCTATCTATCTATCTATCTAGATCTAGATCTAGATCTAGATCTAGATATAGATATAGATATAGATATACACACACACACACTCCAGGTTTGCCAGAATTGTCTCACCTGCAGGTTCAGCACATGCTTTCTGAA